TCAAAAGTCAAACAAAAATTTACATAGTCAAACAAATTTACTTTTGACCATTTTCAAATAGTGGTACAGTGAGATATACATTGGGCGAGTCAATTTTGATCATCCAGTCCGATAATTAAAATAAATTTTTTATATCCGACATAGTTTCCATTTTAAAATGATGTCTTGATGGTAGTGCCGCATTTGTAGCGCATTTTCAAATTCAATCGAATAACTTCAAATAATATTCAAAACTCATCTTAAACGTTAAATCTTATTAATCTTAATAGATAGTTTTCTTTTCCTATCTACATATTTCTAACTTACTATCTATATCATCAACATTATTTCACATACATACGCTTGAGGAAATTAAACAAAATTCGGAAAGTCTCATTAGCTGTGATAAAGATGTTTTTCGAATCACAAATCTACTATCCATTTCATAGGACAATGTAGTTGGTTGCAACTTGAATAACTTCTCAACGGAAGTAGCTAGAGACGTGTGATTTGCGTTGTTAGAAAGAGAAAAGATAACTTTATCAGGAAATGTAACATTCAAGCAGGTTGCACCGACTTCTGGTGCCACCTATCGATGAAACTTCTTTAAGTGGACTTAGCGCCGAAAGTTCTTATAGCATGGAGTTGTCGTATGACATGATTCATAGAGCAAACATTTCTCTACAACCCTCCAAAATCAGAAAATTTATTAAACTTCAAGTCTGGCCAGGGAAGTCCAAAAACCAAAACCTCTAAAAATCGGTTTTTGGCCCGAAACCCACCTTAAAACTTCTCATATTGTGTTCTCGTGTAGCCCATGTTGTAGAGCATGTCGAACTACCCTTGTGTACCAATTTTGAGCATCATACGACTTCGGGAACGAAAATTCGAAGTTTTCGATAAATGTCTCATAGGCTGTGATCATATGCATTAAAATGAACAACTTCGAATTTTCGTTCCCGAAGTCGTGTGATGCTCAAAATTGATACACAAGAGTAGTTCGACATGCTCTACGACATGGGCTACACGAGAACACAATACGAGAAGTTTACGTAGATAGGAAAAGAAAATGTCTATTAAGATTAATAAGATTTAACGTTTAAGATTAATGTGCTTCTATGAATAGAATTAGAAAACAATCGAAAAGTACAATACAGAAATGAGAAAACTGTTGGGACTTAATTTCGATAAAAGTTATAAGAAAAGACAAAACAGTCCTATATATTTTGCTTCGGAATGAACTTTCATTTTTGGCTCATCACTAATTATTTAATACACATTATTCTTTCAAGCGTCTGCCTATATGTAATTAAAGAAAATTTGAAATTCTCAAAATTATCACTCTTGTGAAGCATTTGCCCTACGGAGCATCTGTCCTAGCAGAGCAAGTGTCTGAGAAGCATCTGGCCGGGATTTCTTCTTAAAGATCAACTTCGATAGCTTTTGACGGTCAGTTTTAGTTTCCTGATAGGATGCTACCAATTGTTCGAAACAGAGAGACAAGAGAACCCTTAGCTTTAGACTCTTTCCTTACAGTCAAGATAATATATTTAAAGAGTGATTTATGTCACAATTTTCAAGTTCTGTAGAGCATGTTTTATAAGATTGACCGTCGAATATTTAGAGAAAGACTCTTGAAAATCCACAGACCCAGGCGTCAAAAAAAAAATCTAGTATCGCCCGATCCATCTAGATTACTAGATTTTTACTAGATTGCAATTATTTGGTAACGACAGGGGAAGTCGAGTAATCGGGCGGTTGCCAGATTTCTTCTAGTTGTAACTATCGATTTATCGCCGGATAATCGATCGATTTAACTGTTGCTAGTTATACATACAGACACATTTAGTTAAAAGTCCCTTTTCCAACTAGTAATCTAGATGGCAACTAGTGGTGTATCGCCCGATTTCAGACGAAATGTATCTAGATTTTTCTCATAGGCGATATTTGCTTGGGAAAAACAGTATCATATTGCAAAAGAAATAGATTATTGAATCATATGTGTTATCCACGTCTGAACTTTTCATGAAATTTATGAAGTTGTGTTGTGGGGAAGAACATCTTGAATAATATTTTTCTATTTTTGAATTCCTTATAGCCTGATGAAATCAACGTAGATGGTGAAAGATTATCGTCTTATGAAGGTATCAATTATTACACAAACTATACATCATCTCAATCATGTACATGGGATATTTATTGGAAAAAATTTAACCATTTTCATGAATGTCCTCTGGTTAAAATGTGTTACGATTTCGTATGTCACTGTCAAATATAAATGAATATTTCGCTATCTCATATGAATATCGTATATTTTAGTTATTTTTTATTTGGTTACTACTTGTGTTCAGTTATATGATGCTATATCATTTTGATCCGCCGGATGAATCGCTATATTTACATTGGACTGAAATCTATGTTATCGTAACAATATTCACAATGTTATTAGAAGATATTCGTCTGGTATGTCACATAAATATCTCTCTTTATATCTGATCATTTTATGTTTGCTGCTTGTTGTAGTTATTGTTTGAATATAAAACTCAAATGTTAGAACAATGGGATCGATCCAGTTCATGGGTTTCATCATTACCAATACGTTTATTTTATATATTGCCTTATATTCTGTTCTTTTTCGGTACTCTACTCCGATATCGATTTGGTTCAAATTCAGGTCTTTTTACAACAGCTAGGTAAACATTTCATTGGATTCTTTATTCATTTTCTGACAGATAAAAAACCAACATAGGATCATAATGGCTTTCGACTTAGAACTATGGTTCCTTATCTCTTTGAAATTTATTAGTGCTGTAAAACTACTTGGACCAAAATTGTTCATGATGAGAAATATGGTATGACTATTATAACATAAATCTTTTCAAAATAGAAAATGGTGACTGTTTTCGAAATTGTATATAGAAACAAAACCAAGTAGGGTAATCTATAACAGGCAAAGTTTCAGAATGAAATTTTTCGATTTCAGTTTTAAATAAGCACATGTCTTGAGTGGAGATAACGTTCTTTCACACACTAAAGAATAGTCGCACTTAGGGATGTTACCAGCTATGAGACTTTGAATCAAAGATCGCATGTTTTCACCATTCAACCCCTCCCCCCCCCCAAATTCCACCGAGGTTTTGGATCAGACTTAACCAGTTTTCTCTGTTCTAGCCAAAACTAATGCTAGAAGTGGTCAAGATAAATAAAAAAGTGCCCGGCTTGGTAATAAGGATGGCACTTTCCCGTTTCTATCCTGAGTAACGATAAAGTGGTATCTTTTATTTCAAAAGTAAACATATAATCCATATGTTTTCTTTCTTAAGAAAAAGGAAAGTGGCATCTTTTCTTTTCCAAAAGATATCAATTTCTTTCTTTTGGAAAAGAAAAGATGTCACTTTCCTTTTTCTTAAGAAAGAAAAGGTATGCATTATATCTTTACTCTTTTTTGCTGTAAAGAAAAAGAAAAACTTTTCTTTTGTTAATAAAAAAAGGAAGTAGGAAAGAGAAAGTGCCATCCCTACTTGGTATAGCTTGGTGAAAGGTGACCTTTACCGGTATTGTCTAATAAGCTTTACCAAGCCCGACACTCTTTTATTCATCTTGATCAGTTCTAGCATTAGTTTTGGATAGAGCAGAGAAAACTGGTTAAGTCTATTGTGGCTAACTTGAACAAATTAGAAAGTGTGCAATATAAAGCAGCAATCACAACTGTAGGTGCAATGAAAGGAATAACAAGAGAGAAAGTGTATGAAATATTAGGGTGGTTCTCTCTGGAAGATCATTTTCGAATTTTACGTAGTAACCAAAATACAACTATAGAAACAGTGAATAATACTTCTAAAGAATTTTTTGTAGTAGTAACTGGAGAATGAAATACACTAGTATTAAAAGATCCTAGAGGTTTGAAAATGAAGGTTGCTAATGTGAGAGTAATTTTAAAAAATAAAGTAACTCCAACTGGAAGAGTTTCTAAACGTTTTAAGTTTGCCACAAGAAGAGAAGAAATAATATTTGTGCGTATTAAGAGTGAATTTCCACCTATAAATCATTATCTATACAAACGGAAATGTGTGGATTCACCTTGGTGCAGTTGTAGAGGTGGGAGGGAGTCCAGGTCGACGAAAACTAGCATTTAATTGTCCGGCCTGTTAACTGTATGCCAAAAAATGGCCTGTTACTTGTGTAAAAATCGAATGAAAATTGGTATTTAACAGCCATTGTAATGACAATTTTTTGGCTTTGAAATAACGGTGAAAATAATGCCAGATTATAGGCAATGTCCAAAAAACTGTCATTTTACGACACCATTAAATAATATTCTAGTTCATTTATCAGACCGCGTTAACTAACGCTAAATAAATGTGGCCGTTAGATGTCCGTTTTTTCTCCATTTCAAAATGGCAAAAAACTGGTCATAAAATGGTTTTTAACAGCCAGTTTATAAACTGCCTGTTAAAGTTTTGATCACCAAGTCATTCACCGTTTTATTTTGCTGTCATGAATAGTATAAATGACTCTGATTTTTCTAAAATCATTTAGAATGTTTCTCTTCTTCAATTATACGAGTCATAGAAACTTGCCTCAAATAAGTGGTCTGTGATTCTTGACTCGATGCAGAAGATAGTACCTCAGGTTCAGAAGATATTTTTTTGACATTTTCTAACGGTCTAACAATTGATATTTAAATGGCAAAAACATGTGCCCAGTAGGGTTACTAGCAGCAGTTAAATGCCTGTTATTTAATCGTTTTTTGACATTTAAAAAAATGCGAAATGAATGCATTTTAAACGTTCCCAGTTATAATGGCAAAAAACGGGGTCAAATGTCATAAAAATGCCATTTAAATGCTTATTAACAGCGTATTAAATGGCATTTAATTGGCAAATAATTACACCGTTTTTGACGTCCTAGGAGGATATTGTACATTATTTTTTCCACTGTTCACTGTATAATACTCAAAGAATTCTGTTTAAACAGGAGTTGAATTTTTTAATTGAAATTACACTAGATACTTTTCTACTAAATAATTTACAGTTGATGAGGACGCACAGTGTACTGTTTTGAATGCGGTCAGCTACTATATAAGTGGAACGAAAGGATTCGAAAACTAGCGGCACTTTATTTTAAACTTCACCCTTTTTTTCCCAAGAATGTCAGTCAGTACCACCCCGTCTGCCCTGGGCCACTATCACGTCACATCTTTATTTTTCTCCAACATTCTTTTTTATGTTGTTCGTTATATTATCAACCTGTATTTTATTTTACCCTTACATATTCTAGTACTCAGAGCTAGGCCTATAATGATTTTACCGCAGGCCTTATTTGAAAAGAATCAATAAAGATATAAACAGAAAAAAAACTGGTCAAGTGTAATCCAAAAGATCAGTGAAACTTTTGGGGGCGTTGAATAATGAAAACATGCGATCTTTGATGCAAGGTTCATCCCTAGTCGCAATTTCTGATCCATATCTTCTGAATATAATGAGCATTTTCTGAATGATTGAGGACTAAACAATGAGAGCGTTTAATAATTTTCAAAATTATTGAAACATACGTTACCGACTCACGTTCATCTTATTTTTAGAAGAAATCGAAATTCTTGATGTTCTCTATCAAAAAGGAAAAGAAGTTAACATTTGCAAGTCTTACAACTCTTAGAATGAACTTCTGTCAAAATCTTCTGATAATTTATTTTATCATAAACGAACATCTATTTTAGTTTTTAACACTGGAAGAAAAAAGGTCAACTCTATTCAAAAACTATCGTTTCCAATCGACGTACAAAAACGAGCAGTGCCAGATAGTCGATAGCATTTGTTTCAGTCATTTTTCAGGCTCACACAAATTTCAGTAGCTATAAGATTCTATACTTATTCAAAGCCCATTAATTTTGCTCATTTAGTAACACAACGTACAGTTTATACAAAAGGAGAAAGATTTTTGCGACTAAATCAGATTGCAGCCCATTCTCAGATCTTTCATTTGACATATAAATATTTAAAATTCTACTTTTAGAAGCAATAGCACTCAAAAGATATATTTTGTTGCTATTGAAGTTCATAAGAAAAAACGAAAATTGAGCAAATCTTCACGAAAACATGCGACACACACCAAGCAATCAGAAAGAATATAAGAAGATTTCATGACACGACATTACCGCGAACATTAGCCCGATTCTTCTACAAATTTTTCATAGTACACATTTGGGTATTTTTGACAGTGTCGTGGGAGACGGGGGTGAGAGTGAGTGACACAGTGTGAGAGTGAGTTCGAAAAGTAGTTTCAAATAAAACATATTTTCATGATGCGAAACTGTATACCAGTAATTGTATAAGATAATGACTATTCACCACATAACTTTACTCGGGTTTCATGTCGTTCACGGAAATGTCGGTGTGTCAGTGCAGTTACAAATCCTTTTTTCTATAGACCAGAATATCAGAAAGGTAATTTGGGGGGCGTTTACTGTTTTGGACATCTTGAGAAAAGCATAACGATATTTTCTAACCGAAACATATCATTCAATAGTAGACAAAATACTGCGTCTTATAAGCCTGGATCGAAGTCTTATAAGTTATTCTACAAGGTTAGAAAAATCAAAATTTTCCACCCTGAATTTGTCACCAAAGGGCTGTAGGTTCTAAACAAAGGGTTTTTCCTCACTTTTTTGCTCATTGAATTATTCCTAGGAAGAGAGGAAGAGAGCTAGTCGAAGCATAGTTTAACAGTAAGAAGGGAAGCAAGTGATGTATTCAAAAGCTGCGTCGTAAGTCCAGCGGTTCTTCAAAATTAGTTCTCAGGACAGACTGTTTCCCCTATCTTTCAACTTGGATATCGTCTCACAATTCTCTGAGGATTTTGGATAAGTCCTTTAAGTTCTAAAAAATTCTAAATATTTTAATATCAAATGAAAGTGCTGAGAATGAATTAAAATCTGCTTAGTAAGTCAGATCGATTCTACTTGCGCCCGGTTTGGAAGAAAATGGTATATGTAGTCTGATTCGGTATTTTGCGTTTTAACATATGAAAAGAGAAAATCGAAAGGAAAACATATATATTCAGAACGACAAAAAAGAGAGAAAGTAATAAAGGGCGTTAATTTCTACGTATAACCAGTTTTTCATCTGTTTCTCGAAAAGTAGGCTTTGCACCCAAAAACAGACACTGGATTCGAGATCTACGTAAAAAACTGAATCAGACTAAATATACCGTTTTTCTTTCAAACCGAACGAAAGTAGAATCAACCCGATTTGCTGTAGACTTAGTGGCACAAACATTTCTCCTTTTCTATAAGCTGTACGTTCTATTACAAAATGAGTAAAATTAACGAAATCAAGCTATACAATTTCTAAAGTAATCATTCTGTGTGTATTTTGAAAACAATAATAGTTGATAACTCATTTATCTAAATATTCATGTATTTAGCTTCGTGATCTATCAGGATTTATATATGTTATGTTTGTTTGTATTTCCGCCTATGGTATTGTATCTCGATCAATGATTATGTATAACAAAGTTGAATTTACTGGTCGAGGAATATTTTCAAATATTTTTTATCCACCATATTGGTTTTTATATACAGTTGTTGATGATGAACGAAAAACATTAGATGGTATTAAATATATTCATTTATATTGAATCTAATACTCATTTCTAATTGTAGATATGATAAGTAATAACGATAATACAACAACTCACAGTGCTGAAGCAACTGCCACACACATTCTATTGACGTTTCAAATGCTTTTCATTAATATACTTATACTAAATTTATTAATTGCTGTCTTTGCGTATGCACCAGTTCATCTAAAAGAGAGATTATTCTATTAATTAACTGTCAACTAGGACTGTAAAAGTTGCCGTTGCGTTTGATTTAACACTAACTGACAACACAGTTACCGTTGAAATAACGGTAATTATCAGTTAGTTAACTTTGTGGTGACTATTTCTTAATTATGGCAGAAATATTCGGGCAGCGGCTTAAAATGGCTTCCAAAATCGTTAATTTTCCACTAAAACTGTTGAAACTTTCATAAATGACATGATTTGGATTGACACACACGTGCCAGTCGACCAAACTAATCGAAATTATATATAACTTCAATGTTTTGTAACTGCGGTTTTTAAGGTCTCTGGAGACCTCAGCATCTACGACCAGCTTGAGAAATCTTTTTGTTTTCATCAACGAAATTAGACTACAAAACCATGCCATTTATGAAAGTTTCAACAGTTTTAGTGGAAACTAACGATTTTGGAAGTAGTGGCGTAACTAGGAATTCGTGGCTGGTTGGGCAGCGCCCCACGACCTTTAAAAAAATCCATTCACGATAGTTTAAATTTTTTTCACAATTGAAATACAGTTGTTCAATTCTGACTTTCTTAAGAGAAAGACAATACACTGTATCTGCACTTTTATTAAGTGAAATTATGTGAAAAAAAAGAGAAAAAGAAAATGAAATAAATGAACAAATAATAGTTATTTCAACATTATTCGACAAAAATCTTAGTGGAAATAATTATTTTTTGTTTCTCTCTGTGCCCGAGCAGAGACTGCCGGTGGCCGGGCGGCGCCCGGTCTAGCCCACCCCTGGTTACGCCACTATTTGGAAGCCATTTTAAGCCGCTGCCTGGATATTTCTGTCATACTTAAAAAATAGTTACCACAAAGTTAACTAACTGATAGTTACCGTTATTTCAACGGTAACTGAAAAGACAGTTTTAACGATAACTGACTTTTCAGTTACCATTGTCGATAACGGCCGAAGAAGTAACGGTAACTTTTACAGTCCTACTGTCAACTCTTTTAGTTTTACAATTAACAAAGTTCAAGATAATACTGAATATTTTTGGCGATACCAACGTTATCAATTTATACGAGAATATTTTGAAAGACCAATATTATCATATCCACCAATAACAATTATATCATTTATTCTTTTAATTAGAAAATGGTTATTCTATTCAAGGTGTTGTAAAACTGAAAAGAATCGAATAACAAAAATATTTAGTATGCCAATATCCTAATTGATTTGTATTCTATTCACAACTAGTAAAAATTCTAAACTATTTTAGAAATGATCACATCGAAAACATTAGATAAAAAATGGAATAATTTCGAAAATGCTTGTACATACAATTATGCACGATCTATCTTAAAAAAGTAAAATTTTCTCGATGATTTTTAATGACGTATATATTGACTTGTGTATGTTTAGAGCAAAAGTGAAACTGGAGACAGATACCGATAATGATGATAATAAACAAAAATGGTACAAAGTAGACCTTTTACTATAATTTTTAATGTGCATATCGCGATGCCTAGAAGAAATCATTCGTTCAATATGTTTGATTGATCTTTCGCCTCTCTTCAGCCGCTGTTCTTTTCAACGATCATTCATATTCAGTAGATCGGTCTATCTTATTTCAAAATAGACGTGTGAACAATCCGTATCCGATTCGGAGGTTGTGTACGGATACCTGCTATAAAATTCAAAACTGAAAAGCTATATAAAAATACTGAAAAACGCCAAAATAGTCAATCTTCTATCATTTTGTTATAGAAAGCAGTATGTTTTTCGAAACAGATTAAAACATTGAGTAGGTCTTCTCATATTGAGTGTACTCTTTCTCATCCTATATAATAGATTTCTTTCCTCATAGTTTTGTGTCAACAAGAGTGACTTTATTGAAATTCTCTGAAAACAGAAACAAAAATTCGGTTTTTATTAGTAAAAGGAGAAAAAATTCTCATGTAATTAGTTGTAGTGTGGGGAATTCGGATTTTAAGTGGAAGATACAGTTTTACAATGGGGCTACAGAATTTAGATTAGTCAGATATTATCTTATCAAGATCAATCAAAGAAATAGAACAGAAAAGCGTTTTTAATTAGAAAGCTGACTATTTCGGCGCTTCTCAGTGTTTTTCGTACAGTTTTTCCGTTTTGAATACTGTAATAAAATGTTGAATATGAATGAATTACGGATCTTCGAAAAAAAAGTCAACTGAAAAGGATACAGAAACATGAAATAAATCAAAAATCCAGAAACGACCATTTCTTTTAGACTATCCAATAAGTTTTACTTTCATCTATACCCATACATCATAAACAACGAATGCATGGATAATTTATAAAAACATAGATTTATTCAGATATTTTCGCTTGTTTTCTTTTTAAGTAAGATACAACAGGTAACATGTACAGAGATAATGATCATTCGTTCCTCGATAGAAACATCAATATACATTGAATCTATGATCTTAACAATCATCAATCTTCACGTTAATTGAAAGCGTTAAATTAGACTAGATTTTAGCTAAATTTTATTATAATGATGGACAGATATCTTTGTATTTTCAGCTTGTCACCGGTATGGAATGGATCATTCAAACAATGAAGGAGTTAAAATGTCATTAACAAGCAGACCAGGTGTCATTTGTCAAGGACGAAGTTATTCAATTGACTGAAGATCTAAATTAACCGACAATAAACAGTTTTAGATTGGTTATCGACTTGGAGTAGCGTAAAATACTATTACGTTATTTCAACAAATGTTTTACTTTTCTGGATAAATAGATAAAACAAGAAGCAGAGCAGAGTACTTTGCTATTACCCTTTTGCTACATAAACATTTTCTACTAGTTTCAACTTTTATATTTTTCTACCTGAGATCCTCTGCTAAATCTTATCTTCTATTCTGTCTTCTTGACTTTCTGCAGATAATCCTCCCCGAGTTCAAATTTAGCCTAACAAACATAATAAAATACCATGTTACTTATGAATGATTAAGCAAGTTTAAATTAAATATAGTTTATTAAATACACACGAAAATAGTAATAATCACAGATAATAAAGAAGGATATCATACAAATCATACTCACACACCCACACTAGTTTAATTTTAGTTCTCCTCTCACACAAACAAAAATAAAAAATTCGACTGCTGTTGCAGTGTGTAGAAAATACTAGAATGAAAGAGAGAAAAATAGCTGAATAGACGCAGAAGATCATGTATGAGCCACGACCTAACGTGCTCAATCGACCATCTCAGATTTCTTCCAACATAAGGGGCTTCTTTTGCTCAAAAGCATGAATTTTGGCGAAAATTGCAGATTCTAAAGTTGTTGCGTTGCTGAGATATTGAATTTTTGCAAAGAGCTCGAAAACTCACAAATTCTGGCATCTAAGCAAACTGTCAGTTTAAACTAGGTACAGCTTCGTAGTGTCACATTGCTTAGACCTAAGAATTCTATCATAAATACTACTATCTATGTGCAAATATAGTGTTCTTCGATAAATCGCTAATAACTTTTCAACGATACGTGATAACGACATTCGGTTTTCAGATTCACAAACTAGATAGAATTTGCTACAAAATTATGCAGTCAGCAGATTTTTCGAAAAGGTTTTCCGTGGAAAAGCTGGCTTTGCAAAGTCGGAAAACCTCGATTATTTTTCTTTTCTACTGTACTAGTACTATCGAATGCGCTGATTCCGAATCTGGAAGAATTGTTCGTCTGTCGTCTTTCATTTCGGTGATCCAGGTGTTTTTCGAGGACACACCTATGAGGAGATTTTTACGCTAGAGCAATAAACAAAATACAGCAGTGTTCAAATTTCCAAAAAAGGAAATTTCCTTCATATATAAAGCAATTTCAGAAATTTCGACAATGCAAAACCAATAAAATGAGTAAATACCGAAATTACCATACATTCCAACATACAATCTAATACCTCAAAACCAAATTTCCAAGAAATTCCGGTAAATACCCACTAACGAAAAAGAAAATTTCTCAGTAATTTCCGAAATTGCAAACGTTTTCAAAACTATTTGCTAAGAATTTACTACCAAAGTAAAAGGAAATTACGGAAAATACTCGAAGTCAACCAGCAAATATAAGGAAACTTCCGAAAATTATCACAACATCAGCGAGAATTTTCCACACACATTCAGAAAACATTCCATCAAACAAAAGAAATTTCCGTAAACTTCCAAAGTCTATTACGGTAATTACCCCAAATTTCCCACATTTTCTGTAAACTAAACGATACCGATATGGCAACTACTAGGAAATAAGAGGAACGTTTGGTAATTATTGGGAAATTACTGAAATTTCTTTTATTTATTAGATAGAGATATCCATTAGAACAGGGACTGCTATCTCCAAAAATAGGAGAACTTTTAGAAATTCCGATAATTTCGAGGAAATTTTAGTACTTACTGGGAAGTTATCGAAATTTCTTTTATTTGTTAGATAGAGATATCCCTCAGAATAAATCCCCCTATGCCCGAAAATAAGAGAATTTTTAGAAATTTCGGTAATTTCGTAGAAATTTTGGTAATTACGCGGAAATTTCTGAAATTTACCTGAAAATTACCTAATTTCCCAGCAGTTACCAAAATTTCCTCGAAATTACCGAAAATTCTATAAATTCCCTTATTCTTTTAGACAGGATTCCCTATTCTAATGGATATCTCTATGTAATGAATAATAGAAATTTCAGTAATTTCCAACTAATTACCAAAATTTCCTCGAAATTACCGAAATTTCTATACATTCTCTTATTTTTCGAGAGAGGGGTCCCTATTCCAATGAATATCTCTATCCAATAAATACTGGAAATTTCAGTAATTTCCCGGCAGTTACCAAAGTTGCCTGGAAATTACCGAAATTTCCATACATTCTCTTCGTTTTCGAGAGAGGGATCCCTTTTGTAATAAATATCTCTATTCAATAAATAATAGAAATTTCAGTAATTGCCCAGTAATTACCAAAATTTCCTCGAAATTACGGAAATTTCTATAAGTTCTCTTATTTTGGTAGACAGGGTTCCCTAGTCTAATGGATACCTCTATGTAATGAATAATAGAAATTTCAGTAATTTCCCACTAATTACGAAAATTTCCTCGAAATTACCGAAATTTCTATAAGTTCTCTTATTTTGGTAGACAGGGTTCCCTAGTCTAATGGATACCTCTATGTAATGAATAATAGAAATTTCAGTAATTTCCCACTAATTACGAAAATTTCCTCGAAATTACCGAAATTTCTATAAATTCTCTTATTTTGGTAGACAGGGTTCCCTATTCTAATGGATATCTCTATGTAATAAATAATAGAAGTTTCAGTAATTTCGTAGTAATCACCAATATTTCCTCGAAACTACCGAAATTTCAATAAATTTTCTTCTTTTTCGAGCTAGGGATCGCTATTATAACGAATATCTCTATCTAATAAATCCTAGAAATTTCAGTAATTTCCCAGTAATTACCAAAATTTCCTCGAAATTACCGAAATTTCTATAAATTCTCTTATTTTCGTAGACAGGGTTCGCTATTATAACGGATATCTCTATCTAATAAATCCTAGAAATTTCAGTAACTTCCCAGTAATTACCAAAATTTCCTCTAAACTACCGAAATTTCTCTAAATTCCCTTATTCTTTTAGACAGGATTCCCTATTCTAATGGATATCTCTATCTAATAAATAATAGAAATTTCAGTAATTTCCCAGTAATTACCAAAATTTCCTCGAAATTACCGAAATTTCTATAAATTCTCTTATTTTGGTAGACAGGGTTCCCTAGTCTAATGGATATCTCTATCTAACAAGAAATAGAAATTTCAGTAATTTCCGAGTTATTACCAAAATTTCCTCGAAATTACGGAAATTTCTTTAAATTCTCTTGTTTTTCGAGATAGGGATCACTATTCTAATGGATATCTCTATCCAATAAGTACTAGAAATTTCAGTAATTTCTGACTAATTACCAAAATTTCCTCGAAATTACCGAAATTTCTATAAATTCTCATAGTTTTCGAGATAGGGGTCCGTATTCTAATGGATATCTCTATCCAATAAATACTGGAAATTTCAGTAATTTCCCCGCAGTTACCAAAATTTTCTTGAAATTAGCGAAATTTCTATAAATTCTCTTATTTTTGTAGACAAGGTTCCGTAGTCTAATGGATATCTCTGTCTAATACATAATAGAGATTTCGAAAAATTGTGGTAAATTTCGGAAACTACTGTAATAGGCTTTGGAAGTTTACGGAAATTTCTTTTGCGTGATGGAGTGTTTTCTGAATTTGTATAGAAAATTCTGGCGGATGTTGGCGAATTACTGGGAAATTTTGTTTTTCGTTAATGGGTAATTGCCGAAATTTCTAGGAAATTTGGTTTTGAGATATTATTGAATCTCGGTAATTTCTAGTAACTTTCTGTATTTGGTTCGTGGATGAAGGCGTATGGTGAATCGTAAATTATGGTAATTTCGGAAATTGGCTTTTTTCGGAAATCTAAACATACCTCACAAAATATGGAATGTAAGGTTATTGTACATGCTGATCACCGTGGTAATATTTTGCTTCAAAGAATTATCTTTTTGCCGAATATTTTGGTTTTTTGTATCAAGTGCATTTCTCCTTCTTTTTCCTTAGTGTAAAGTGAGTAAAAGTATGGAATTGTGCACAGCTGGTGAATGATGTCGTTTTTTGTCTGTACTCTTCTACCAATAAACAGGCTGTTAGATGTTACAAAAGAGCGAAATATAAATATTCGTCCGCTCAACTACAGATAGGAAGAAATAGCAACCTAAGCGTAAAAAAAGTATCTAATATCGCCCGATTCATCTAGATTACTAGATTTTTACTCGATTGCAACTATTGGTAACGACCGTAGGAATCTAGTCATCGGGCGATTGCTAGATTTCTCATCAATGCAACTATCGATTTATCGCCCGATAATCGATCGATGTAACTATTGCTAGTTTCACACACTGACACATCTAGTTAAAAGTCCCTTTTACAACTAGTAATCCAGATGACAACTAGTCGCGTATCGCCCGACCGTACATGGAACCGTACATGTTTTCCCGAAAGACTAATATGTGACTAAGCTGTGAAAAAAGCTGTACACGTTAATTCCTAGATAGTTTTATTCTCGTCGACATGTTGTAGGTTTCTTTTTGGAGCCATCTACTGTTTATATCGATATGTGCAGAATTGTCAAGCCACTTGATGAGTCATGTAGCGGTGACGAAACGCGTCGTTTTTATTCTTCTTTGTTTTATGTTATTGGGTATAGTGCGTTTAACCCAACAGGCCATATAAATTTGTGCATTTGTTAAAAGAAAACTTATATAAATGAAGTAGATTGTTTGAAAGTTCTGTGATTCAGTTTTTTGTAAAGATTATTTATTCAGGATTATAGTTTAAATAGAACAAAAACAGTCAAAAGGAAAAGATTATTAGATTTATCTACATATCAAGAAAAATAAGTTACACGAAAAAGCACAAGTACAATTGATAAATGAGCCCGGTTTTGTATTTTCTACATCACGTTTTCAAACTTAAGTGACCTTATGTGGTAAATAGTCATTATCTGATACTGTCACAGACATCTCGTTTCGCATCATGAAAATACGTTTTGAGTGAAACTACTTTTCGAACTCACTCTCATTCCATTGCATGCTTTTTTTGTAGAAAGTCTAGCGGAACTAAGTTTTAAAGAGATTGCCAAACGAACAGGAGGTCGATGTGAAATGTTAGACATAAACTCTTCCTCGAGGTCAGAAATGTTGACAGATTTAATAACTAAAGAAGTTTTAAGAAATGTCGGTGGAAGTTCGTTCACAAGGAAATGTTCTTGTTAAAGCATACAGAAACGAATTTGGAAAGAGTTACAAATAAAAAACATGTTATTTTTCGAAATTAGCTAAAATGGAATTTTGAACAGATAAAAAGATTTCTTGAAGGTATTAAAATAAAAATTGAGTAAAGCATACTTGAACGTTTTAAAACCACTGAACCCAAATGAATAAATATTCTTGTTCTGTATCGTTGTGTCCTTTCACTGATTTTTGTGTGTACTCAATTTTTATTTTAATACCTTCAAGAAATCTTTTTATCTGTTCAAAATTCCATTTTAGCTAATTTCGAAAAATAACATGTTTTTTATTTGTAACTCTTTCCAAATTCGTTTCTGTATGCTTTAACAAGAACATTTCCTTGTGAACGAACTTCCACCGACATTTCTTAAAACTTCTTTAGTTATTAAATCTGTCAACATTTCTGACCTCGAGGAAGAGTTTATGTCTAACATTTCACATCGACCTCCTGTTCGTTTGGCAATCTCTTTAAAACTTAGTTCCGCTAGACTTTGTACAAAAAAAGCATACGCTGGAATACTCACTATTTAGCTGGAAGCTCACTATTTATAGCAGTGCAGAACCGGTCACATGAACTTTCCGTGAACAGGCCCGCCACCCTTTCACGAATTTTCATAGTACCCATTTGGATATTCTTTGGCAGTGTTTGTGGGAGGTGGGAGCAGTGTGAGAGTGAGTCTGAAAAGTAGTTTCACTCAAAACGTATTTTCATGATGCGAAACGAGATATCTGTGACAGTATCAGATAATGACTATTTACCACATAACGTCGCTTAAGTTTGAAAATATGATGTAGAAAATACAAAACCGGACTCATTTATTCTTCTTTTTCAATAAACAAGTCTTTGTGGAAATATCGATTCGCGATAATGTCGTTCATCGGTCTTCGCGTTAATGTAGGTGTATTATGCTTTGTTTTTTTCTGTTCTAGCATTATCTCTCTCTTTCTCTCTCAATCAACCAACTCTCTACTGATATTGTTTCTAAAAACTTTGGAGAGCGTCGAGTTTGGGTAAAACAGAATGAAAGTTAAAAAATCCAGTCTGAGCACGGTATGTTAGCAACGAGTGCAGTAGCATTGTGCTAAGAACGACTTGAAAGTATGCGCATTCTAATATAAACACTCCCACAACGAATCAGAATTTGAATTTATTTAATCTTTACTGACAAGCTCAGAAAAAAAATTCAAATATTTTAAAATTTCTGAGATCCACCAGCTATCCACGCCACTTGATGTTCAGTTAGTTGACGCAACATATTTTGATAGATCAGGAATGAATTTGTTTGCCATTGTTGCCCATGGAGTATTAAAACCTGGAATACCATATTGATTTAAAAAATATTCATAGGGTACAGGACACTCAGGCCAAACTTTAAATAAATCAGGCAAATTTGGTGGATTTATTTTTGAATTAGCGAAATTATTTCCAATTCCAGTGTTAGAAAAGCCTTTTCTGGCAAATGTACTATATTCAACTACTGTTGGACCTTTCGGTAGGCTTGAGAATTTATCAGCACCATTTATTGTTGTATGCAATACCTGAGTTTGACCTCCATTTTCTTCAGCATTTGCACTATTGACAGCTGATGCACCCTGAGGAATTTTACCACCACCTGGCGCATTTTCAATATAACTATTAGAAAACGTTAAATTACCCGTAATCCCACCACTGATAAATGCAGCATTACTGGCACCTAATAATACACTATCAGATAAAGTAAAATCGAATATACCTTCTTTGCCTCCAACCGCACATTGTAAAGTATCTAAATGCTCTGGACCTCCTACTGGACGATATGATCTTCCAAACCATGATCCGTCAATGTATGCACCTTTTATACCTTTATCACAATTATAGCATCCTTTCACATTGACTCTGTCAGCTGTACCGTTATATAATGTGAATACTGAAACGCACTCGACGAAGAATGATTCATCTGCCATGAGTAATCCAAAATATGTTTTTGGTAACAAGGCCCACATACGAGCATAGCCTGATCGTTTACCTTCCCAAGTTTCCTTTTTATCAACTACTACTTGTAATGAATCGATAACATCAAATCCAGCAATTGTTACACGAGGACATTGAATTTTAAATCTTTGAACTGTTAAACGTTTACCAATTGGAGGACGAATTAAAACATTTCTTACCCATCCTTTAGTTGGATCTTGATCAGCAGTCAACGGTTTATTTTTTTTTTTATTGGGATAATTTATGACAAAATCTGTATCAGGTAAGCTTTTTGTTAATTCGATAACAATTCCTGATGATGGTAGTGTAGCAGGTAAATTATTAATAATCGTTTGAACTTCAGCTAACGACGAAGCAGAATGAGTGGCTGGGGTTGACATAACAGGTGTATGCGATGGCCAATGTTTTCCCGTAGGTCCAATTTTACTAAAATCTGTCATTGATGGTGTAGGATTTGGGCTTGGTGTAAAAGACGCAGCAGTTACTATGTTTAACTTTTCAAAATCATACTCATATAATTGAGTTGGTTCAGCTGATGTATTCACAATTAGAGATAATAATAAACAAACGCCTACAATGAACAAGATAACATACTCAAATTTTAATGGGGTGTGATGATAGCTAAACAGGAGAGACATTATAAAATAGCTCAAAAGGATACGAAATCTCCACTAATCTTCGTTCGTAAGGTAGTAAATGGCCTCTATATCCTACAATAGAGAAGTCATTTTCACAAAGCTCCTTGCTAACGAACTAAATTCTCAAGTGAGTCCTTTTTTAGAGAACCAATCACTATCCTCTTATATATCTTCCAGTGTACATTATTGAAGGGGGGAGGACATCAAGTTGCATCCATAAAAAAAGTTCGATCAAGTTTTGACTGAGTTATTCCGCTTTGACCCGGCCCGCGGAATTTTGAAGCAAAAAGTATTTTTAAAACACCTTGAACCAAATTTCGCTAGAAGAAACCATTTTCAAGGAAAAATGTGGATACAAAGTTGTTCAGAATCAGATTCGCTGGAATATGAACGGAGGATTTTTCAAAGTTCGTAGAACTTGATTTTCAAACTGAAAAATAGAGCTTTTAAAACTTTAAAAGTTTGTAAAATTTAATTTAAAAATCCATTTCAGCGAATTTTGAAGAATTCTTCGTTTGTATTCCAGAGAATCTGATTCTGAACAACTTTTGTATTTACACTTTTGTTCCTGCTTTCTTAAAGCGGAACTTTGTTCAAGTCTCAAGGCCTAAGGTCTCGGAAAAATCGGCTGTAGAAAACTTCACCCTTTTTGCCATAGGATTCAGCTTAATAGACTGTCCATTGACAGTCAATGTCCATTGACTTTCATGTTTTCCTATAACTTCTACGAAGCTCAGCGAAAAAAATAAGGTAGGGCCGAAATTTAGGCACTTTTCGAGATGAATGGATGGGCTTTGTGTTTTCTAATTTAGAAATTGAGTTTTAAGGTATTAAACCTTGTTCACGGCTTATCCCAAGTGATACTTGATACTGAACAGCTTTGTCACACATATCTTTGCTTCAAAATGCTTCCCAGAACAGAAACTGCAGATAAGAACTCGAAAAAGTACACTTTTTATAGCGAAATTCCATTTTTGAGGCAGAAGTTAAATTTCTCCGTCAATACTCGTTCGAGAAATGAAACTTTTTGTGTACATACAACTTGATGAACCATATCGGATGGCACAAAAATCGAGTCTTCAAAATTGACATTTTAAAAATTTATTTAAGTTTCAAAAATGGGGCAAAAAACCGGAAAAAATTAAAAACTTGTTTTTTCAAAAACTACAGGTCCGTAAGCTGAAAAAATTTTAGAATACAGATTTTAACCTGTTCTCTGCAAACTAATAGAATTTGAACCAAATATCTAAATAGAAGGACCTCTTGCTCCCATCACATTAACTTCAAACCGTAAAATTAATTGAACGCATATTTGGTTAGGTCTTTGTGTCTACTGTCAGAATCCATAGTATTTAGCATTACATCAAACACTTTTACTAACTTTTTAGAAATGGTACTAAAAAGCCTTAGGTCTTTCCAAAACCTTACAGTTTTTGAGAATGAATTCGACTTGTTGGAAGACAGACAGGACTACTAGAGCTATGTCTCCTCTTCAAAATAAGTTGCCTCGCAAGCCTGTACGGTTGTTTTTCAAAAGTTACACAGAATTTACGGAACCCACTAGGATTGCAAATTTTAATTAAGACTTTATCGTTTTTCATTGTCTGTTTCCAATATTTTTTGATTAGCTTTTATTGTAGAGCAATAAATCAAAATAAATTATGAGATAATGGAAACAAAAACTATATTTAGATTGAGCTTCTGTATGTCGACAGACAGACAGATGTACTCAAAACGCGATTACGTCATTTTGCTAGGAAAATACGTCCAGACGTATATCTTCGTTTTATATTGAAGCCTTCGCCAAGTGTACAAACTTATTTCCAAATTAAAGACTCAACTCCAAAACATCTAGAATCTGATGTTGTGTACTCTGTCGGATGTTCAGGATGTACTGTCGGATACTTAGGCAAAACAGAACGCCAAATGGTCAGACGATATCGGAAGTACGGCATGGCAAAAGACAGATTCCCTGATACAATTTCTTGAGTGAATTTTATATCCCCATTTCTATGTTTGTTATATTTTTAACGTTTAGTTCACTGTCTATTATTATCTTTCGTTCTTTATCTTCTAACGTTATTTTGGACGAGCAAAATAAGACAAAGATGAGAAAATCGAATGTTTGTTATAAAATTTTTCCCTCCATGTATCATGGATAGCAAATCTAAAACTGACACGTTTCTGTGTTTATTCTTGAAAATGAACTTTCAAATTCCAAAACGTTGAAATATTTGGTTTTACTTTAATAATAAAGTTTTTCAATAAAATAAAAATTACTGTTTTTATTTACTGTTCTAACTGTAAGTCAGCTACGAAAAATTTGAGCAAAAAATAGTCTCACCTTGGTTTTTCAAAATTACGTGGTAGAAGTGAGACATAAAGCGGAATTTTGTTTCTAAAGACGCTTTATTATCATCAAAATTTCATTTTGATCCGTGAATTTCTTCTACAAACTGGCAAAACTTGAGCGGAATCTGTCTAGAAGGCAAGCAGAATCTTTTTCCTACTGATTTCGGGAGAACTTTCATTACCTGTTATCAGAAAATCTTTTCCTACCTCTTACAAATCTTGTCACAGCAATACGATTACTTGAAACAAACATTTCAAACCCTTGTATAAGTTCGATATGCTTCAGCCAAGCCTAACCTTTACGTATTTTATTAAGAAAATCAAACACACATATCACGATACTAGAACCTTTCTTCTATCTACTAAATAAGAGAAAATATTCTTTCTCTCGCAGATGTCAACTTCTCATGCAATACGCCTACTGCGAAGAAAAAATACAAATAAAGTATTGATAAATAACGCGTGCAATACGTATTCGATACACTTGTTTTTTTAGTCTTAATATCGACATATTTTATATACATTCACAATCAATTCAATTTCTCTCAAAACCGCCTTCCTTAAACGTAGGAAAAGCGCGATGAAACTAGTGAAAAAATCCTCGATTTGTAAGAAGAAAGTTTGTGAATGTAGATAAAATGTGCCGATATCTAGATTAACAAAATAAGTGTTCGAATATGTATTGTACGCGTTATTTATCAATATTTTATTTGTACTTTTCCTTCGCAGTAGGCGTATTGCATGAGAAAGTTGATATCTACCAGAGAAAGAATATTTTCTCTTATTTAGTAGGTAGAAGAAAGGTTCTGGTATCGTGATATGTGTGTTTGATTTTCTTAATAAAATACGTGAAGGTTAGCTTTGCCTTGGTAGGTGCACACTCACTTCATTTGACAAATAGTAGACATATGGTTTCTCCCTCACTTTTAGTAACTAAACAGATTTTCTGACTAAGACTAAGGCTATTTTATTCACGAAAAGTATGTGTCATCAAAGGTCATCCTCCTGTAATAACAATAACTTAAGAGAGACTTTACGAGCCCGTCGAGAATTCTAGTGGAATGGTCGAAATTAACATATATCTTTTTTAATATTTTTGAATTCAACGATCAAAAGTGGAGTTATGAAAAAAATTTTAGTCTCTTTGGACTTAATCTGACCGAGTTATAGCATTTACAAAATGGTCGGTGTCCGAGAATCTTGAAAAAGCATCCTCTTTACTATTTT